GCATAAGTGCTAATTGTATTTATACACCTCTTTCAAATAAAGGAAACAGTTTGGTTTATTTTAGCGTTATTTTATAGGGTCCTGTGTCCTTTCAGATGAAATCTGCATGGGTTGGTATGCTAAAACTTTATTTGTAAAATGACCAGATTAAACATATATTTATTGGCAACGCATTGCCTAAGGTGCTTAAACAGTGTTTTTGATTCGAAAGAAATAACTAAATTAGGGCAGTTATATTTATTACTATTCTGCCTAAGAGCAGCATAATTCAGTCTTATCAGTATATCAACGTTTTTAATCATCAGCCACAGTTATTGGATAGAAGGAACTATTTGAGGTAGGTGAGAAAACCATCAGGTCCATTTAGCGGCGCCGCAGTGATTGGATCAGCGAACGTACCCTGCAACTGCCTGCCGAGATGACTCGAACCAACTCCGAGGGCTGAGAGCAAAGTCGGCTAGGGATGGCCACCAGAAGTATTCGTTCGAAACGGCGACTCTCACGGAGCAGGCTTCAGATGTACGTCACACTCGGAAATTAAACTGAATCATCCGCCAATTTAGTAGTAAGCCCAAAAACCCTGTGATTCTGATCGCAATGTTAATAGCGGATTTACTGTTGACATCTTGGTCAAGATCGATCGTTTGCATGAACGTTACGAGTGCCACTGCAACTTTGGTAAGCAAACAATTACGCCTTTCTTCTCCTCCACAGCGGCGTTTAAACCATTTCAAGCCTACACAGTGTCGTATGAACTCCGTTATGAAGATGCAGTTGCCGATGCAATGCAGAGGCTCCGCATCAACAAGGCGACCGGAGAGGTCGGTATACCCAGATAAATCTACAAGTGTTGTGTCGACACCCTGACCCCTCGGTTTCATGAGGTGATTGTCCATGCGTGATGAGAAAAGGTTGTTCCCGATGACTAGGGCTCAGGCATCCGTGTACCTTGAGATAAGACAAGATGCACGGACTACCGTGGCATAAGTGTTGTCGACACTCCTGTAAAAATCTTAGCTAGTGTTCTTTTCACGTGGTTCCAGTCTGTAAATGACTCCAGGACGCGAGCAACCAAGCTGGATACCGCGCTGGACGTGGAAATGCGGACCTGATATCTTACGCTGAGGAGCTTTCTGGAATTCAATCATAGCTCCCAGCAACCGACGGCCGTCTGCTTTGTCAAATTCGCAGTGGGGTTCGATTCCATCCATCGTGAGTCCCTGTGGCGAATTATGGAACTGCATGGAGTACCGACCAAATGTATTGCCATAATTAAGGCCTACCAAAGGTTCACCACCGCCCGAGTTCTGGTGCAAGACAATTTCTCTCAACCGTTCAATATCTAGTCTGGTGTACGAAATGGCTGTGTCCTGTCGCCAGTTCTGTTTAACTACGTCATTGACTGGATACTCGGGAAGGCCCTTCATGAATAAGACAGTGTTGCGCTTGCGCCCGGATGCCGGCTTACTGATCCCGAATACGCTGGTGTTATTTCGATGCTACCCTCAAGCTTTGTTGGTCTACCGTCTGCAGTTTCGCTAGTGAATGAAATCGCTGTGTCGGATGGCATGAACATAAATACCGCGAAGACTAAGTTACTCTCCAGCTACATTCCGTATGGCCAAAAATCCTTATTCAACAGTAAGGTGGCTTTTATAAACCAGCAATATTGCGCAAATAGTTATTTCTTCTTTTATTAACTCGGATGACTTCATTGACAGTGTCGCAGTTGTATGCAAACCTCGAATGTTAAGTTAGTAAAAACATATTTATTTAATTTAGTATCTGCACACTTCCCTCGACATGCCAAAGTGTTTTGGTCTGCTTTTTTTCGATTTCCTTTCTCTTATAAGCTTGTTGCACTGTGTTGGAAGTACCTTGTTATTCTATGTGGCGATTTTAGTCGTGTGAGTCTACGTCTTCTGTTTTAGGACTTATGCTGACGTCCATTTCGATCATATTCTGACAGACTTTCCGAAGATACTTTTTGGAAATGTAAACCTCTGTTTGTAGGCACCGTCCAGTATTTGTCATTGGTTGATAGCAAACTGCACGACAAAAATTAAGGAGCGTTACATAGTTTTCGAATGCGCGCACACCCTCTGGGAATATTGCTCAGTCAAGTCGTGTTTTTTAATCTTACAAACTTTTTAAATGAAATCCTTGATATCTTCGTGGTCTTATGACTGCTATTGTGAGACCTGACAGAATTTATTCTTCCAACCTCAAGTGTCTAAGAAGGTAAAATGAATTTCCCTTAACAAGATGGGTCTACGTGGAGGACTAACAGAAGTTATAACCTTATAAAAATTGAGTTTTCCAGACTGTACAAGCTATTGATTAGTCAACTATTTATTTTTCTTTTTTATCTTCCTTGGAAGGTAACTAAATGCCGTACTGTCCGACTTAATACACCAACACACGCCTATGCTAATTTTATACTCTTTAAGGGTGAATTTCATCTACACTTCCACCGACTTCTTTCATCCGTAAAACGGTAGTTCCTTATTACTGTCTTTCTCTCGCTATCTATGGTAAAACCCCTTAAAAGTTTTGTACGTAAAACATCCACCGGGCCATCTCTTTCCTCGCCATGTCTCGTAAAAGCTTGATGTTTATCACTTAGCTGCTGCCCTGACATATACTACCAATGTGTCAATCTTTAAGTCATGGATTCCGGAGGACTGATGTTGATTGAGACATACCCCCATCTCCCGGAAAACTTCTACTCCTGGTCCTACATTATTTTGCCTAAATGCTTGCAATTCCGCACTATTAAAACGAACACAATGCGTCACATTGGACGCAACCCTACCATTATCCTGCGATTTTTCTGATCCCCTGCAATAAACCTACAAGATCAGGCATTGTAGCCCATTATTCCGCATAGTTCATTAAGCGCTTAGCGATTTAGATAAGTGTTGACATACACATGTGCATATCTGGATTACTCTTTAGCCTTCAACACTATCCCGCGCCATCTACTCCTGAATACAACTTCTGTATGCGGCCTTCCCGTCTAGGCTCTCTCTAGGCTTAGAGACGAGAACATACGATCGCCGTTGGCTATGCCATCTCAAAACCGGACACATTTCTGTGTACCAAAATATGGCCTACACCGCGTCTCACCACGGTCGTTAGCAAATGGTTTTCAAGTAAGTAATCAGAAGTCGGTCCAGTAAATTTTCCCACTGCAACGTTCTCCTAGTTCTGCATCCCCACACATCATGCCCAATGAAGCATCCTCTTTCCGGTATATCGGTGTAAATCTGTCATGTAATCTTTCATGTACTTTTCAGATTGCAACCTTCTTCGTTAAAACTCATATGCTTCTTTATTATAAACTCCGGTTACGTAGGTACCACACAATTCAAGTTTTGCTCTAGCAATTTGTAGATGTCTGCATTCTACCCTTCATTCTAGCGTGTTCTCAGGTCAATTATGCAACCTTGCTAAAAAAAGACCTGGAAATCATAGATTAAAGTGTGCTCGCCGCTAGATTTTTGTTTATTCTGTGATTTTTCGGACAACTGGAGCGGGAAACCTTTGTGAAAACCTGAACAGACTTTAGCCATCATCAATCTGAAGTTGAGACCGCACGTATTGGCCGTGGGTTGCTCAATTTTTCTATGGTCTCTGCTTGGCTCTCCGTGTGGATGTTGTCATAACTTGACGGCAATTATTGCTAATGAACCTGATTCCTGTTCCTCTGCATTCTGTTCTAGGCAGACGCTTTGCTTATGTTTTCTAGTTTTTGTCATAATACAGAAATACATTAGAACGGTTAATCAAATTTCTGATCGCATTTTTGATGAGGTTGCTCATTCACTTCACTGTGCACTAAGGACTGTGAAGACTTTTTCGTACTGTGCACCGAAGTTTCAGCAAGGTGTCTTGCCGTACATCGGCATATTAACATGCTGTACGTTCTTTCCTAGCATGCTACCTCAAGTGTAAAGAAAAGGAAATCCAGAAAGTCTAAGTAAACCTGATTCTATAATAGATGTAGATTTCCTGTCAACCTCTAGCTCTTGATTATTTTATTAGATAGCAGTTGGTCACGGTGAATGGAACCCTTTCTGCTTATAATAATTAGTACTTACCTTGAAAATAAAGCGTACGCATTACTATTTCTCTATGTTGTCATACAACTTCATTCGTCTAATCATAAGACGTTAAGAGAACTTCAGATATTTATTTTCGGTTCAAATTTATTAAAAAAATAGTGTAGTTATATTAATAACCATGCGAATAGGGAACAAAATACTTCAGTCAAACCAGCGCGCTGCATATATCATACTCTGTAGAAGTGCATTTCATTTTTTGACATTTTTCATTTGCATTTTTAACGTAAATTATCTGCTGGTGACGGCAGATTGCATTATCATTATTGAGCGCAAAAGAATAAAGACACTTAAGTTATATTTGGTCTACAAGTCAATCTTTTGTGCAGTTCGAAAGAGCCTGCATGCGTTTTTGGAGATGTACATTTTTTTCTTTTTGAGCCAATAGTTGAAAAAATGGTATGTGAAGATCACTGTTTAGTTGGTTGCTGTTCAAGAAGCTACATTCTCGGACATTCCACTTTAGCTGATTTAATCAAACATTTTGAATTAAAATCTTTTTTTTTGTCCGTACATCCTGACAAAATAAATAACTAAATAAATATTTTCATCGCGTAGAAGGCACTCACGGTGCAGTTTTGTACATGCACGTTTGGCAATTCAGACATAGGACAGATGGCCCTACACAGGAAAACCATCTGGCGTCTAGTCCCATTTATTTTGTCACGTGTTTTCGATTGTAGCATCTTCTTGCCTATACGACCATTTACAGTACATTAATGTATTGCCAAACTGGAAAAAAAATCTTTGCTGATATCAATTTCCAATCGTCTCACTTAATTGCTAAGCTGCAGTTTGCTTATTGCTTCTTCTCTGTGGATTCCGTTTCGGTTTTATTAGGCCTTTATGACGGTATTTCTTTCCGTTCTACAACTGTTTTTGTGTGCTTTTCTGAAATTTAAGACTACTTTTAAACGTGGTCTAGACAGCAGGTTAAAAGTATTTTCGTCAAAGACAGTAGCGTTTTCTAAATACGCTGTTTAATGTTCAAAATAATAATATTGTTTTGAAACTTCACTGCCGACCTACTAGACGTTAACAGATTTTGTTTATATTTTGTTGGTATTTACAAAATTCTCCGCATGTTGTCTGAGAAAAATCAAGCGAAAAACAAATAGTCAAGGCAATTTTAAATTTGAACAAGCAAACATAGTTTCTAACGTTAAATGGGTATTAAGTTTAGGGGTGCTTTTCTTTTTTGTGTTAACCTTTTCAGTACACATTTATCTCCGTAGAAGAACATTTCTACTGTAGTTGGTTTCCGTTACTTAATAGTGATAAAGAATGTGCGAAAATATTCGAGGTCCGGTCATCATTCCCGCAAAAGAAAGAAGAGGACGAAGCAGCTTGCGAGACCAATTTTTTTTATGCTGACGTTTCACAATCATCCATCATCAAAGCGTAGTGGCATAAATGTGGCATAAGTGCAATGTTTCTTAATGAAACGCACGATATTTTTTATCAATTCAGTTTTTTGGATACAGCTGATATATGTTAGGTTTATGCAGGCCTTCCAAGTCTGAAATGCACAAGTTATCCGTGTTTGAAAAGTATTTCCAGCTTTTAATAGTTCGATTATTTTAAATTTGCAAAAAATTCTAATAAGAGAATTCCGAAAAATATCTGGCGAGCTTACGTAGCATTCGATAAGTTCTCCTTTGACCATTACATTTATATAGGGAGGGGGTAAAACGTAACATGCTAGCAACTACGTTCACCACGACAGGCAAATTAGTCAGGGGATAGGGGAGGGGGTGGGGTTGATAGTTCTCAGCTGCTTGCGAGTTGATGAGAGTTTGTTGAGTCGGCACAGGTGAGGGAGGTTGAAGTGGAATAAAGCGCGGGAAGATGCTGACCG